AGAGAGAATTACAACAGGGTGGGCTAAAAGTAGTTTGTGATTCACTTTCATACTGGGGTGGGGTGGGAGGGAAAGTGTCTAGTGGGCAAGGATCTGTCCTGGGTACAGATTGTTATGAAAGTCTCAGATAAGGGCGTGGGGAGAGTGATTGATCATAAAACTTGCTTCTGATTCCAAGATAAGAGTTGCAAACACTATATAGGACTGGCTTAGAAATAAAAATATAATTGACAAATTGGATAACTGGTTTGTAATCAGAAACTTTGTAAAACTTGTAAAAACAAGTGAAAAAGTACTTCATTTTGAAGATAAAAATCAAATGCACAGAAACAAAATGGGAATAATTAGCCAGGTAGCTTTGTGTAGAAAAGGACCTGGAGGTTATAGTGGATCACATTGAATATGAGCTAACAGTGTGATGGAGTTACAAGAAGGGCTAATATCATTCTAAGGTGTATTAACAGTAGGTAATTGTCCTGCGCTAATTAGCACTGCTGAGGCCTCAGCTGGAGTGCTGTGTCCAGTTTTGGGTACTACACTTTAGGAAAGATACGGTTAAATTGAAGAGAGTCCAGAGAAAAGCAACAGCAGTGATGTAAAGTTTAGAATACCTGACCTCTTAGGAAAGGTTTTTAAAAAGTGGGTAATTTAGTGGGGACACGTGATAAATCTTCAGACAATGGATAGATATCAGTTATTCACTGAAGAGAAGAGAAAAAGCTATCTGTACAATTTCCAGTAAAGAAGATTTGAGATACCAGAAAAAAACTTCATAAGGGTATAAGTACTAGAATAGGTTACCAAGGAAGGCTGTAAGGCATCTAAGAAAGGTTTAGACAAAGTAATTCCAGTGATGGCTAGTCTGGGTATACTTGGTCCTGCCTCAATGTATTGGGATAGAATAAATGACAATTCAAGGTCTCTTCCAGCCCTTCACTTTAATTATTCTAATAATTTCTAGTACAGTAGCCTCATGTAGGCCGTGCCATTATTAATCTACAATGAGAAGTGAGTAGGCCCAGTGAACTTCTCAATTATTCCAAGATTCATTATAATCCAAACCAGGAAATTATCACAGAGATTGGATAGTTGATGTGGTGGTTGCAGGTAGGCAAAATTAGCAAAAGTACCTTTTCAGTTTCCTTCTCTGGCAAAGCATTTCAACCTCTCTACCCCCTCCCACATCCTCTACAACAATACAATTAAGGATCTTCAGGGTTTCATGGCCTCTCTTCAGACATGAATGTTTCTACTGCACAGATTACACATACAGGCACGGTGACATCTCACCATGAGTTCCAGTTGTGCTTTTCCATGACCCATACGAATGATCTCTCTGTAAGAACCTATTATGTTGTTGTGAAATAATGACGTGTATGTGTCTTGACCTATGGTGGGCAAACTGCTGCCCACAGACTATATGCAGCCCAGTGGGCTCCACCTGTGGCCCGTAGACCTCCTGTCAACCCTCCTCCCCCACATTCCTCTTGCACAGTGGGGCACGGAAACCCCTTCTCTTCCCCCTCCCTCCTAGCACTTTTGGAGCACCATGAATCCACTAATTCAGTCTCCATCCCTGCTCCTCTCCTTCCCTCCCTAGTGGGCCGTGGGCTGCAAACTGCCCACTACTGACAATTATAGGGCCCACTTATGCAGCCCACTCACTAGCCTTAGTTGCCTATTTCTGGTCTTGACTGTACTAGATAAACTCAGACTGTGCAGTTAGCTCAAGATGATTAAGAAGAGGAAAAGGTGCTACCTTTAGGTTCAGCACAAGTGTAGCTGAGTTTCATGGTAACAGGGCAGGGACTGAGTAAAAAGGTTGGATGTGAATGGAGTTTGCTGTTGAGGTCTCTTCTCTACCAGTTCATCAGTAAGTGGTAGGGGAAAAGGCCACTTACTTGTGTTTTTCACCCATTTGACTTAAACCCAGCATAATTCCTTCATAATCGACTTTCATCTGTTGGAATAAAGTGTTTTTTTTAAATAGCGATAAGAAGAAACAAAACATGCTAAAAGCTGTTAGGAGTATTTAATGGTTAGGAGTATTTAAAGCACTCCTGTGAAATTTGCTTGATGGTTATGTACATCCTCACTTACAATAGTGATTTGTACCCTACAGAAATTATCTTTACTTGTATGGATTTTTCTCAGGCAGCAACTTTATTCATTGAGATCTGAGTCACTGAATTCAAAACAAGCAATATATTCTTCTGTGCCAGCCCTGAATGCAAAATGAGTGGAGATCTGCCTTTCAAGAATATTAACTGCATCTTGCTGCTTCCTCCAAAAGAGGGGGAAAGTAATTTTCTTTTACTTGGGCATTCTCACAAAGCCCACTGCAGCTCAGTTCTTTAAGACCCTTTCTATACAATCTGTCCTCTTAAGCAGGTTATATACCGTAATGTACCCAAAAAGCAACAAAGGGGTTAAATTAGGCAGCAGGAAATGCACCAAAAAGAGACAATGAAAGCTTTTCAAAAGCTAGCTCTCTTACAAGGGAGAAGTCTGGCTGAGGGAGCTAGTAATGAGACTGTTACCTGATAAAGGTGCTGGTGGCAAGGGTACTGATTTTTTTAATCCTGTTTAGTTATAGTTCTGTTAATGACTTTGAATATTTCCCCCATCATAGTTCTCATGGTGAGTTTATATCTCTGGTCTGAAGCATCCGAAATATTTCATGTGCTCAAAACTGAAAGAGCTGCTGTGAGAAATTCAGCCAATCTCCCACCATACATGTTGTACCTTTCAAAGGCATAAATGGAAATCACACACTAAGGCTATGTCTACACTCTCGGCTTCTTCGTCCACACGGCCCAGCCGCTCTTGCGCAAGGAAATTTACAGTACGGCGTGGTAAGAGAGGGCTTCTTGCGCAAGAGCTATTCTCTTTTTTAACAGGTGTAAGCCCTCTTGTGCAGGAGCTCTTGCGCAAGAGGGCAGTGTGGATGCTCGGCTGGGGTTACTTGAGCAACAAAGTCCTATGGCTAAAATGGCCATCTGAGCTTTCTTGCGCAAGAAAGCGTCTACGCTGCCATGGATGCTCTTGCTCAAAAGCACAGCTGGCACATGGCAGTGTGGATGTTTCCTTGCGCAAGAGTTCTTGCACAAGAACCCTTGCTCAAGATGTTCTTGCACAAGAAGCCGCTAGTGTAGACATAACCTAAGGGTATGTCTACGCAGCAAAATAGGAAATAACAGCCATTATTTTGAAATAACTTTACCAGTATCTACACAGACAAACCACTATTTCAAAATTAAATTGAAATTTTGAAATTGGTAGACGTCATTCCATGAGGAATAGCGCCAGTTTCGAAACTGCTATTTCAAAATAAGCACTGTGTAGATGCTTATTTAGAAATAGGGGGCCTCTAGCCTTGCCCAGGGTCCCCTGCTGGTCACTCTGGTCCCAACCAGGAAAACTCCTCTCCTCTCCTCCCTCCCCCTCCCTGGAGCCCTTAAATGGGCAGACTCTGGCCACTGTGCCTGTGACAGCTCCAAGACTGCCAGTCCAGAGCCAGCAGGCGCTGCACCTGACCCAGTGACCCCAAAACATGAGCCTGCAAGCCACTGGCAGCCAGCCCTCCACCACTCCCCAGGACCAGTCTGCCAGCTCCCAGGAGCCTGCCAGGGGCCGGAAAATGCGGGCACCTTCCTGGTCCAATGCGGAGATCATGGACCTAATTCAGGTTTGGGGGGGATGCCTCTGCACTAAAAGGAGGAACGTGACCATCTACAGTCAGATGGCTGCCAGCCTGGCCACCGAAGGTCACGTGTGAACCCAGGAGCAGGTTTGGATGAAAATAAAGGAGCTGCGTCAGGTCTATGCCAGGGACATGGGGCATCTCCCAACCAGGGGCAGACCCAGACCCCTGCCCCTATTTTGATGCCTTGGACCACAATTCCGGGGGGGCGGGATGGTCCGTGCCCCCCAGGTTGTCATCGACCCTGGGGCAGAGGGCCCTGAACAGGAAACAGAGGAGGAGGAAGGCCAGAAACCGCAGGAGCTTGGAGGGAGCATGCCACGCACCCAGGACCCCCGAGCTGTCCCAGTGGGCCTGTCACCAGTGTCCTCAGAAGCTGGGGAGGCAACGACATGTGAGTGCCATCACTGTCCCCTTATGCGGAGGGCAGGAGAGAAGGGGAGACCAGGGACCGCATACATTGCCCTTGCTGACCATGGATCACTCAGCAACCTGTGTGCGCATGGTGCCATGCCTGGGCACATGGCCCCAGCTGGCTGCCACATGGGCCTTACCCACACGCATGTATGTATGAAGGCACATGACATGATCCTGCAGAATGCCCTCCTTCCAGAAGCCTCTTCTACATAGAGGCAGGGCACATCTCCCTCACCCCCACACTATATACAGCACGGGCATGGATGCAATCCTGGGCCAGCTCCCACTCCTGGAGATAGCAGGACACACTGAACACCGCAGGAGCTTGGAGGGAGCATGCCACGCACCCAGGACCCCCGAGCTGTCCCAGTGGGCCTGTCACCAGTGTCCTCAGAAGCTGGGGAGGCAACGACATGTGAGTGCCATCACTGTCCCCTTATGCGGAGGGCAGGAGAGAAGGGGAGACCAGGGACCGCATACATTGCCCTTGCTGACCATGGATCACTCAGCAACCTGTGTGCGCATGGTGCCATGCCTGGGCACATGGCCCCAGCTGGCTGCCACATGGGCCTTACCCACACGCATGTATGTATGAAGGCACATGACATGATCCTGCAGAATGCCCTCCTTCCAGAAGCCTCTTCTACATAGAGGCAGGGCACATCTCCCTCACCCCCACACTATATACAGCACGGGCATGGATGCAATCCTGGGCCAGCTCCCACTCCTGGAGATAGCAGGACACACTGAACATGGCCTGTGTGCAAGTACATCGGCTCCGATGGTGCAGAGATCTGCTGCCCTCGCCTTGCAGAGGGGTGCTGGGCTTCACCCACTGTGTGCCCAGGGATAACTGACCACTTCTCTTATTTCTATACAGTGCAGCAGCTGCGAGTGCAGAGCTCACCACCTCACGCAGAACATTCTCCCGCACCCGGGTCAGCAGGCTGACCTGTAACCAGGAGGAGTACCAGCGGTAGCACCTGGGGATCCTGTGAGGCCAGCACTGCACCCTAGACTACTGGGTGCATGAAGACCTGCAGCTCCGGCGGGAGAGCTGGAGGGAGCTGCTTGCTCAGAGTTGTGCCATCTGCAACTGACAGCTTCTTCTCCCCCTTACTCACCTTGCTTCCTCCTTCCAGCTCCCTTCTCCCAGGTTTACCCCTCCCCTCTCCCACCCGCTCGCCTCCCCTCTCCTGCCTTCATTCCACCCCTTCAGTTTTGTTCAATAAAGAGAGTTTGTTTTCTTCAGCACGTGTGTTTTTTTTGTACATTAGGAAGGGGTAAGTGGAAGGACATGAAGGAGGAATGAGCACAAGCCCCAAGTGGGGCACACTAGGGCGACTGTTACTGCCTGCAGAACTTGCAGCCAGGCTCGCAGCAACACATCCAGGAGAAGCACCAGAGTGCCCAGGGGCAGCTCCAGCTCCATGTTGCAGAGTGCTGAGGTGTCCTTAGTGAGGGCAACTGGAGCATGCAGAGGAAAAAAGTGCTTTGCCATCCCTCAGCAAGGTAGGCAGGCAAGCAAGCAGAGAAACCTGAGAACCAGCTGTCCACGGGGGTCCCTTTAAGCACAAGGGTCAGGCAGCTGCCACACAAGGTAACTCTTGACCTGATGCCCTGCTGGAACCGGTTCCAGCAAGCCTTTTGCAATTTAGCATCCGATCAGTGTGGATGCGCTATTTTGAAATAGCAAAACTGTATTTCGAAAAGCATTTTGTGTAAATGCATTATTTTGAAATAAGGTATTAGATATTTCATTATTAGATATTTTGAAATAACGCTCTAGTGTAGACATACCCTCAGTGCCTTATTTTCATTTGTGCTTTTGAAAGTCTCCAAGAAGATAAATTTAAGAGAACATGTTCCTTAAGTGCTAGCCCTGCCATTTGGCGTGCCCCCATCTAGATCTTATTCTGGAACTGGGGCTCAAGAGTACAAAAATCCCCACACTATAACTTCCCAAGCAGGCTTGTAATTGTCTTGACAGCCATGACACCTCTGTCCCTGTATTACAACTAGTCGCCCTTGTATTTATATACTTTATATTTTAGCATGACCATTTTAAAGGGTGTCAAATAAATAATTAAGCTGTAATTCAACTCTTTGAATATTTGTGGTGAGGCAGCTGTAGTTAAATATATAATTTTAAAAGAAAGTGCCAGACCCTGAGCTACTCAACATCAGCACATTATATTACAGATACTGTCATCTTTTGGGTCAGAGCCCTCTCTTTGCTCTGTATCTGCCTACAGCCTGAGGCTGTCCTCATCCACAACTGGTGCTCTACCACAATGCAGACAAATAAGAATAGACTTTAGTGAAGCTATGCTCCTTTACACCGAGTAAGAAACTGGTATTGCTGTTAGAGCACTTTTCCCCAAAACGTGTCAGTAGTTTGCCAGAAAACAAAAAAAAGTTTTGAAAATATCCCAATCCTATCCCCCTACAAACACTAAAAATTGCACTGAGAGGATAATAAATGAAGAAGACATAAATGTATGCTATAATATCCAACATTCTTGAAATGGACACTAAATCAATTATTTATCTAGCTTCTGGCCCATGTGTATAAGTAGGAATGAAGTTGAAGGTTTATATCACACACACAAATGTTGTGAGCTCCTTCTTCTGTGATTGAGAAATGGTACAGACCCTATATTGGTGTTAAAGATAAGCATGTACTATGTCCCATAGTTGTGAAATCGTATAGTAATTGTGGTCTTATTCTTAGTGTTAAGCTGTGAAGCTTCTCTGTTATCTTGCTACATTTCCTAGAGAGTCGTCATCTACAGGATATAAACTTGGTTCTTTTGCTGTGATTGGAATCAATTTTGCAGAGGGATGGGAGGTGGAAACGGTTACCTTATGGTATGTTTTCTTGTAGGAAAGTCTCAGTGTAGGAAATCCTGTTGGAACACTACCCCCTCTTAATTCTCTATAAAGTATATTTCATTGGGTGTCCAAGGTGTGGTATAATCAGATAAAGGGACTGATCCTTGTCCTCAGGAGCTTAATATCTCAACTTTGGAAGCCAGAGGCCACAATGATACCCACAGCACATGTCAAGGGCTGCAATTTAAGTGTGGTTGCAAATAGCTTCTTTCACACTGATGGGCATGAATACAAAGATTACGGCAAGACTACACAACTCGCAGACCCCATTAAAGTCAGTTCTGCTGATATTAATAAAATGCAATATTTATCCAATTTCCACCCAAATAACAGCACTTTGAGCGATGACAGTCCAGGAACTACTAAAACTCATATCAACAGAAGACCATTATATTGACTACTTTTTTGTTTTGGCTTCACAACAGTCCAGGAATTTAACTACTAAAACTCATATTAACCCAAACTGAACAGTAAACCCAAACTGTGTCCCGGGCCACAAACAAACAGGCCGCAGGCTGCATGTTGAGTAGCCCTGATCTAAAGTTTGATATGAGTGCCTTACAACATACAGTGACTTTGCATGGTGGAAATCTTGTCCAAAATCACAGAAACTGTGTGTCAAACCTAATGTGCAATGCTTTGAATTGAACCTAAAAATGGTAATATCTGTTTATTACCAGTATAGCATTGTTCATTGTTGTATGTGAAAGATTCTTCAAAAACTCCCTAACAGTTACCAGAAGATTGCCACTATATGTTGTACCTCCCTGGTCCTGCACCCACGGGACTTGAGTTGTCCCATACAGGGAGTTTGGCGGACCAAAGGAGGTTAGTGCTTTCCTGCTGGCTGCCCAGCTCCCGGGCTCCTCTCCTTAGGGCTCCCTGCCTTGCCGCTGGCCCCACTAATACTGGCCCAGCATGGATCCACACCCTGCTGCCCACCTGCTGCCCCAGGGGTTCCTGGTGGGGACTGATTGGCTGCTTCAGGGTGTTCCCCAGGGTTCCTATCTGGGGTCTCTCAGTGTCGCCGGCTCTGCTGCTGTCGGGGTTTCTCCAACTGAGGCACCCGGCTGCCTTACCCTGATGCTAGAGCTCTCCCACTGCAGCTGGTGCTGAGACTTCCCGGTCACCTGACTCTGCTAACGCTGGGGGTTCTCCAACTGGGGTAGGAGCTCTCTGGCCTCTGCCTGGCACTACTAACACAGGGGATTCTCCAGTCAGGGTGGGAGCTCCTCAAATGCCACCTGTCACTGCTGATGTCGGGGTTCCATGCCCAGGGCACGGTCTCCCCAAGTCTGCATTACTTCTGCCTCCTCTGGGGCTCTTTGCTCCAGAAACATCCGTGGTGCTGCAGGATAAAGATGTTACTGGACCAGAGTCTCCCACATTTGGGAGGCTCAACCTGTACTGAAGAAACAGACATCTAAAATGTGAAAAGGTGATGTGACTGTGTGGTCAAAATTTATAATTATAGAATGTAAAAAGCCCAGTCTCCTTTGGTATACTGCTGGGCCTTCACAGCACTGAAGCCTGACCATTATCATATATTTGGTTTGCCTCAGCGTAGATCTGGATGAAGGAGTGCTGGGATGAGGGAATGGAAAGACCCTGGGTAAATGTGGCCACAAATTATATGCTGTTGGTAGGGTCTTAACCAGTATGCTTCCTCACCAACCAAGAAACTGAAGAGCTTAACTTCTGCTTCCACTCTAGATGTGGTAGTTTTCTCCTTTTCCTCTTTGATTGCCACTTGAAGCTCTACCCATTTACTTGAAAGTGTTCCTTTGCCTCCAGACTCTGTCTACAATCAAAGAATGGCCTGTTTGCTTCCTTCCCAGTTTCATATTGCACGCTGCATTCTCTCCATCATTAAGACTTGGCTTCCAAACCTCTTCCCAGTGGTATCATTCCATCCCAACCACCTATTTACACTCTTCACTCCCTTTTTAAGCTTCAACACCTCTTTCTGCTTTCTTTGCCTCTTCCACCTACTTTTGTACCTTCAGCTGGAGGTAGATTCGGGCCTATTTAGATGAATGTTGGCATTTCTCATGAACCTTATTACTACCAGTTCCATATAAGCAGAACATGTATGCAAAGACAGGACATCTGTTGTAGGCTGGCTTACACCCATACACCAAGCTATTTAGAAATGGTCCTTTCCCTTTAGCCACAGCCCCAACAGAAGCAAATTCAGCAAGGAGAAGAGGGAACCGTAAATGACCATAGAAATAACAATTCTGCCTCTAAGCAGTATTATTGCAGATCTAGGGCCCAAAATGTGATGGTCAATGATTCTTTCATCTCTGCTATTCATGAAACTCACCATCACACATGATTTATATGGGCTGTGCTTCAGGCAAAGGCTCTGACCATATAATGGCTAGTAAAGTACACTAAGGCACATTAAATTCCATAAAGCTACATTTTAGATATATGGCTACAGTGCCTCATTGTAGTCCATCTGGTAAATCCAATGGCAAGTGCTCATCAATCATTGCTTAACATAATATTGTAACACACTCAGTAAACACCCAGTGTTTCCTTCCAGCTACCAAATGGTAAAACCAGTTATTCCAATCTTCAGTTAATTTTCACAGACATAATAAATTAGGGTGAAAAAATTCCTCCAGCCTGCTATGACTTGCCCATTAATTTTATATTACTGTTACAGTGTGACTTCAGTTCTCACTGTTTGTTTTGATAGGTCACTTAACCTTTTTAAATAAGAAGAAATAAATCTAGCCATCTGAAAACTGTTTTTAAAAGGCCCAAGTATTTTGTGAGAAGAAATTAAAAAGAAAAAGCTAAATAAAATGAGGGAGAAATGCATCTTTAAATTAGGTGCCATTAGCAGTGGTGCTATTGTTGTAGCTTTTGCTATTCACCTCCCTCTTCCCCCCCCCTTTGCGAGATCTTATTGAAGCTTTGAAGTTTCAAAGCAAGGAGACAAGTAGTGGTCATGATGTAAGATATGAACTACAGTACAGTGTTCCTTTCTCTTTAATTCATAATAAACTTTTTGTGAACTTGCATGAATATTGGCTTTTATTATTCAGGATTAATAGAGTGAATCAAAGCAAAACAGCAAAAGCAGGTTTACACTATTCCTATCAGAAGGAAAGAGAAAATAGCAACACATGAAGGTTTATGTTGGATTATTTACTTTAGGATTCTTTTATATTAATGATGACAATGATAACCTTGTGGATGGGCAAACTTTATATTATTATTTCTGTTACTTCACCATTTTAAAGGAGCACAGACAA